ACGAAATCATCAGCGAAAAGCAAGAAGAGGTAACGAAGTGGTTGAAGGCGCAGGCGGCCGAATTTTTCGACGAAGGAATTTCCAAGCTCGTACATCGCTACGATAAATGCCTTAATTTGTATGGTGACTATGTAGAAAAGTAGTATTTGAGTGTGGCTTTCATCTGTATATAATAAAATTTGTTTCCTATACTTTGTTTATTTTTTTATTCCAAAACGTAATCTACTTTCTGGATAGCCCTCGTATTAAAAGTTTTAGTATAGATATGAACAAATATGATGTTCTACTATTTATTATAAATAAACATTTATTGTGAGAATATAAATTACACAATCAAAATCCTTTAACTAGTTTTTTTAATACTATTAATATGTAATTATGCTTATGGTTCAGATGATGTTTTCAACTAGCAATAGTGATGCCTCGACAGTACTTCATCAGCTATGACACTGCCTCTGCATAACTCAGTCAACAGCGTTAAAAGAAAAGATGAAAATCGAACCAACACCTCTGATAATTCAGACAGTGTATTTATTCATCTTATTGCAATTAATCCATTAATTACATAAATTTTTTATCAAAAATATTTATATAAGGTGTTTTATTTAGCTATATTTATTTCAGCGTTATGTGAAAATGCTTAATTGAATTAATAAATTATATTGCTTTTAACAATTTTGAAGAAAGGAAAGAAAATTATATGGAATATAGAGCAATCCAGTGACCAATACACAGCAATGTAACATCAAACAAATTATGTATGATTGTGAATTTTTCACTTAAAAAGTATATAATAATAGTTTAAAAAATTTGATTACTGAAACTGTTAAATACACAAGCACTTATTTTTCTCATTATATATACTGATTTTTGTACTTTAATTATTGAAACAAGGCAATATTTTCTTAATGATTCAGGATGTCTTATGTTCTTAGATATAAACGTTCATATGCACATAAGTAAATTTGAAATTTCTGGTTCTGAACATGTGGTCAGTTCTCAAAATGTTAAGCAAAAGAGTCAATAAATTTATATTTGAATACCAGGAGTGAATGCCAATCGCTTTATCCATAACCAATTGTTATTTTCAAATAACTGAAGGAGGATAACTGTTTTCAAATAAATTTTCAAATAACTGTTTTCAAATAACTAACATATTGAGGATGTAGAAATAATATATTACTTTACCTGTATGTTTGGCATATGACAAACAACAAACATGTACTAATTATTTACACTTTCAAAGCTTTGTTACAGTATCCATGGCTCTTTTTAGCCCAAAATGGCTATTAGTTTTGTTTTGGAATTTTGCGTTGTCCACTTTAAATGGCCCTATCACATTTTTCACTGTCCAGTTTAAATGGCTGCATCCCTTTTCAAATTCTTGCCACCAAATGTTATCGCTCGGTATTAGTTTTGAAGAAATTAAATAATGAAGAATCTATATGTGGCAACACTGTTCAAAAAAAAACATTTTCATCTCCAACACACAAGACTCTGGCCATTCAAGGAAATGAAAGATTTCTGTCTTTCAATATCAAATACTTTCTGATTTTGCTTTTTGAATTGAATTTTATGTGGCCTAAATGCGAAGAATGTTATATTTAATAAATAAAGATAATACATAAAAAGTTTATAAAAAAAACAGAAAAAAAATCATCTTATTCAGAAAACTAAACATTGAATGTGATTAACTGAGAAAAGACTAAAAAAAAAAAAATTGTTTTATGTTAACACTACATCAAGAATTCTAAACATATCCTGCTATGTTGCTTTTAAAATTTTGTGATTTTGCTGTTGAATTGTATTTGGTGTAAGTGCGAAGAAAATGATATTTAATGATAAAGCTAAAAAAATGGGTTAACAAGAGTGACTGCAAAAGCAGACTGGTAAACTGCGAGCCCAGCAAGAGGGTAAAAAAACCTCAATGAACGCTTATTTAGTCCCGCAAGTGTCTAAGCAGTAGTCTCTGAACATTGGTTGTTCAGTTCGCGTTTCGAATCCTGACGAACGGGTTGGCTGCATGAACATTTTCATGGTTTTCTCCACGTGTGACATACACGAGCCAGTTTCCCTTAAAAAGTCTTCCATGAAGGCGTCCCTCTCCTTAGGCAGATAGCCCTTGAGTGCTTCGTCATGTAAAAATAAAATAAAACACTTTTGGGCAAACGTTAAAATCCAGATTCTTTCAGATATTTTTATTATTTTTCAGTCAGCAATCTTTAGTGAACGCACTGTACACTTAAATAAGATTAGACATATAAGGTTTATGCATGTATTTAACCCTCTCAGCATTATGGGCATAAAATTCTGTATAGAAGTGTGACTTTCTTATTCATTATACATGAAAACTTCTGCCAGCTTTTAATATATCCGATTTCTGAAAAAAATAATCAAGGTAGAAAATGAGAGTCATTTTTTTAATTATAGTGAAGAAAGTACCATTTATTTATGACATTTTGAGGAACATTAAAATTTCAGGGCTAATGAAAATTTTCATTTGCGTTTTTGCAGCTGAGGATGGTGGTTCGGTAAAACCATCGAAACAAGTCCTGCGAAAATTTGAAAATATAACGCTGCTTTTTGTTGTTTGACTTCTGAATTAGTACTTTTTAATATGTTAAAACATCCTAGTTGCTTTACTTTCCTTTAATACAGATCTGAAATTATTTCGCAAATTTTAAACCTTACCTTATTAGAACAAATGTGTTACATTAATTGGGATTTGTAATAGGAAAACATATAAAACTTGTTATTCCCTACAATTCTAAGAATTCAGGATAGTTGATCTACTATTTAGATGTTTTAAAAGTCTGCATTGATAATCTTGATAAAAAAATTTCACTAAATATATATATAACTTCACATTTATTATTTGCTAAAAGATCTTAAATTACAATGAATGCCTTCAGGAACAAAAATTAACAAGCTAATTAAACCTAATTAAAACAAGCTAATTATATATACACATATTAAACAAAAAGGATGTTACAAACATGTAAAGTTTTTTTGGGGGGGGCATTGGTTTCCAATGACCAAAGATACAGATTAATCAATAAATAATAATAATCAAATTAAAAAAGCTAAAACATACGGAATTTTTTCCTACTGTATTTAAATATCACCAATGAATAAATATTTACAGATTCTCAAAAATAGTATTTTTTCAAATCATAATCCTGATTTCTCATCTGTTAAGAAATCAATCCCATACTGAAGCAAAAAGGCTATCAAAAGCAGAAAATTATCAAACAATTAAGTGTAAAATTGTATTTATGAGGAAACAGAAAATGCTTTGTTAAAAAACTGATATTCCCAAAATAAAACATTCAAATAAATAACTTTTTTTTAAAAAAATTTCATCAACTGTAAATTCGCCATTTTGCACTTTTATCATTTCTGCTTTTTTTATTAAGGAAGAGGATATTTAGTAAAATTTATATTCTTCAAAAAGCAATCCAGGATCAATCAGGTTTTAAACACATATTCATTACTACCACCTGAAGTATGTTAAATCAATTTCTTTATAGTTACTATTTTAAGTGCAAATATATTTAAGAAAAGTTTGGATATATATTTGAAATTAGGAAATGTCAATCAATAAAAGGCAAATTGGATATATTTGTGTATATATATATATATATATATATATATATATAATTTTTTACAGACACTAGTATTAAAATTCACTTTTCATTAAGTTTCCTAATTTCCTGAACAATAATCCAACAACTTTTCTAATATACATACTATATTAAAAACCAAAGAACCTTATGCAAGGGGGAAAACTCTACGTTTCATTTCTTCTCTCATCTTAACAAAATAAGAGTGATCAATGGTTTCACGTGGCAGCCATGTTTTCTGTATATGAGCACGACTTTAGTAATGTAGTATCAGCTGTGCCTGGCTTTGTATTGTACCAGTTCTCCCTACATATAATATTTTTATTGTTGCAAAGTTAGTTTCTCTAGGATGGCACAAGAATAGATAACAATAGAAAGTTTGCTGCTTGATGTTTGTAATTCTAAGCATTTTCTTTATTATTGTGAATTAAAGCATGCCTAATCCTTTCTAGATGTATCATTTAATTTATTAAATTATATGTAATGGTAAGAAAATTTTCTGTATATTTAATATATAGCATTGATGTAGTATAAGTAGGCATGTAAATATTTTTTAATTTATTATTTTAATTGTGTTGTCTTCAATTTTCCCTCTTAATAAACTTCACACACATTTTTAATACTTAACTAACTTTTTAACCATGTCTTTAATCGTTGATAAATATTTTAAATTTCATTTTGTCAAAAAATTAGATTTTCCTTTCAGAGTAGTTTTTTTCATACAGCTCTCACTTCCTATTTAATAGTAAATACTGTATACCTATAATTTAATAAAGCATACCTCCCTCCCCTGAAGAAAAGTACACATAGTCAATCTTAATGTAAAATCCATTTATAAGGGCAATGTGAAAATGAATATTCAATAGACAATGAAGTAACACATACATCTTCATTAGAGGGGAACATAAGTATAATTCTGTTAGCTGCATATTTTATCCCATTAGCTTCTTTACGTATTAAAAGAAAAATTCTATTTTTTTTTTTTTTTTTTTTCTTTTTCATGAGTAGATTGATGAAGTCATAAATACAGCTAATGGAATTACACATATGCTGCCCCTTGATGTAATATGAATAATGTTACTCTTCATTCACTCATGTTTACTTTTATTTTAACTTTGCTTCCATCATTCAATTTTAAAATAAGGATAAATCTGTGTTTCTTGTTTGCATTTTAGATATTTCAACATTTACACAACTGCAATTTCCTTCTAAATTTATTAAACTACATTATGCATTTTACTCTTTATTTACATTATTTATTAATTATTAGTGTAATTAGGCTTATTGTCTTTTATAGATTATAAACTGACTCTGCATAAGGGAAATTTCCATTATTAAATATTTCCCATTAGCTTACATAACACATAAACACATATGCACAGAATGGTTGAAACATGTTTATTATATTTCCATTAGCTTACATAACACGTAAACACACAGGCACAGAATGCTTGAAACATGTTTTAATATATTTTATACTGAAATTAATTGTTCTAAGGATGGAAAAGTTGTGCAAATGAAGAATATAATTTTTTTAAATCATAAAGTTTGTCAAAGAAGGAAATATGGCAAACGTGCAAACCCTATCTGCAGTGGCAGATCTAGTTATGGTGGCTCAGGATGGAAATATATCCCAGAACCTTCTTATTGCTATGATCACCACACAAAATGTCAATACAAATATTTAAGTAATATTTGTTTAATTAAAATTAAATATTTAAATTGATTTGGAAAACAAAAAAAATAGATTAAAGAAAAAACAATTTACATTTAGCAGAAAACCATATATTTAAAAAGTTTTATTAATCAGCCATTTTTGATAATTTTAAAAAACTATTCTTAAACTTTTCTGTGAATAAAAAAAGCTAAAACTGTTTAACTAAAACTGAGATTTTAAATATCCTGCATTACATATATTCATAATTTAATAAAAGTAATGTTTGTTATTATATATGATTGGATTACTTATATATGGCAAAGCACACAAGGGCTATATACCTAATAGTCTGAATTACATATCCGCAGTTAATAATTTTAAAATAAATAAATGGTGCAGTCTCTAATATAATTTTATTAAAGATCTATGCTGAACTTACTCAGCTTGAAAAATATGTTAATGAAAGAAATAAAGACAACCAATATAAATTAAGGCATTAAAAATGTCATTTATATATAATAAACAAAATTTCATATTAAGATACACAATTATCAGATCACTATAACACAATATATAACAAGCAAATATATGATTTTTCATACAACCACTAACAAAATCAGTTTTTCTTCTTTTGCCTTAAATAACAGTTTTCTCTGACCTAACTTTTAAAGGTATATAAATTAATACAGTATAGAAATAATTAGATAAATTATTTTCTTATTTTTTTAGCTTATGGATACAGTACATTTCAAGAAATTAAATAAGTATTCTGTCCTATATAATATTTATATAAACTAAGTATTATTTAAAAATTTATTGTAAATTCATTTTGTCTACTATTTAAACAGAATATTAGGTAACATAGTCAAACATTTTTATTTCAGAAATACATACAATTTTAGAGTTAGTTATCATACAGAGAAGACAAAAAAGAAGAGAAAAGTATATATTACCATATATTTTTAGCATAGCATTAATGCAGAAACCAAAACAATAATATACATTTTAGAAATCAAATTATTCTTAAATTGAAACATTTAGATCTCATACATGAAAAGGTCATATTTCTGTTAATGTAACAATTTTCATAAAATAATAAACTCTTTAATTCCTAATTTTTTACAAGCACATACTACAGATTCCATATCAATAAATATAATTACAGAGATTAACAGATAACAGTTAAAAAAAGAATTAACTCTCATTCAGTAAGTTCTTTACCAGATGCTCAGTATTTGACTAAAAATTTTTAATTCAGTCAATACTATTTTGGAAATCTTCATTTGTTCTAAAACACTTTTGAGAGAATGTGAAAATTTTCAGATTATCTTCCATATTAAATTCATTGTTTGCTTTAAAAAAAAAAAAAAGGAAGGAAGATTTGAAAATAGTCTTTACAAAAAGGAAACATTAAATAATTCTGTACCAATGATAACAATACATGATGTTAAGCATTATTATTCATTACTTATAATAATGCTGCAAATTTTCATAAAAATGTCAATTAAGTATAATTTAAATAATAATACACTGCTAATAATTTAAAGATAAATTATATATCTTATAATATGCTAAATGGCAGCAATCTTAAAATTGCATATTTCTGAGACTACAAGGAAAATAAAGATCTTATTTTTCATGTAATGGTAATATTTGTCAAAATATGTGAATGGTTAAATGGCTTAGTAATTAAGCATAACATAATGACCCAAAAATTTAGAAAGATTTTTATTATGTAGATACTTATATCATTAATCTGTACAGTTTAGCACTTTGCGTAATATTTCTATCAAATTCTATATTCTAATTTACAAACAATTAATTTAAAAGGGTAACATAAAAATAACTTTTATTTTACATAGCATATTGAATATACTTTCAAAATTTTATTGCACTTCGATGTGGTCAACAGAAGGATCTCAGCAAGTATAACGCTTTTTTCATCCAACAGATCAGAAATAAAAGCATTTACATGAAAACAATATTTTCATATGTATTATCCATAATAAATGACTGGATATTCATTTTGTATTAAGACAATTTGCAAATGATTTGCTTAGTTGGTAAGAAAGGAATTACATTCAAAAGTCATTAATCCGGACTCGTCGGGACTTAGGCGATTCCGGATTATAGATCATAAGTTTAAATCTGGTAAGATGGCATGCAGAAATTATAAAATTAAAAATATGAAACCGTAATTTATGAAATAAAGAACAATTATGATCTAAAGGGTATCAAAATTTACAAAAAAAAGCTTATATTTATTTGTTTACTTTATTAAACATTTCTTTCAATGTAAGTTGTTTAATTTGCTTCGTTTTTTATGTGATAATACTTTCTCTTTAATTCTATAAACAGACATAATTTCTTGTTCAGTTACAAAGTTCCGCTGTTCAATTCCTATAATTGCTGTGTCGAGAATACCGACTAATTTGTCAATCGAAATTTTTTCGTTTTCAATAAACTATGTGTCACTTTCTTCTCTATCGGAAGCGAACTATAATGACGAGGAATTTGATTTAAATCACATCAAAGATGAAATTATCGAGATCATATCGAGATGAAATACTACATTTAGTAAGGAATTATAAGCCAAATAAAATTTAAAAAAATCTGCCCTGAAGATAAGGACAGTGCTGACAGATCAACTTCCAATTCATTGCACACCGCGACGTCCCCCCCCCCACACAGAGCAGCGTGAAATTGATAAACAGATTTCGGAATGGTTAGATAAACAAAGGATATGCCTTTATCCATTTTTTGCAGCAATTCCACTTTTTGTTTAATGGACTTCGAAACATACTTTCGCTTTGTAGATCCTTTACATATTAGTAAATATATATCAGAAATTCTATTTGACATAATCGAAAGTTCAAGCTTACTTTTATAAAATTGCTCTAATAGTCTGCAAAAAATAATGCCGGATCCAATTTGAAGATTAAGGGACAATGCAATCTGCAACATTAACTGAATTAGATAATTTTAGCTTAGCTTATACCGTCCATTATACATTAAACGCGCATTCGTAATTCATTTTGCGCATGCGCACACGCATATTCGCAGCCGTAAAGGTCTTACGCGCAGCATGCTTCAACGCGACACATGCGCAGAAAGTTTGTAGCTTTGAGGTTCGGATTATGGATCATTCCGGATTATGGGTGTCCAAATTAACGATTTTTGACTGTATTATAAAATCTCAGATATACTCTTTTCTGTAGAATAAGACCCTGCAGCAATAAATTTTCTCTTATGGATTTAACAAAACATTTCACATGGGGAAAAAAATTAAGATATGTGATTACATTATTCTTTAACTACCAGTCCTCAAATATAACATAAATCTATTTAAAAAATTCTGAAGACTTTTATGTTAGTTCAAAGACTTTACTGTTTACAATTTCCTGTGTAATTACATTACTTGAGATAAGGTCATAAGGTAATAAGCAAATGATTATTCGTAACTTATTCAGGAATTAATTAAGCAGTAAAACTCAGCAGTTTTAAAATCACATGTGAAGAGATGTAACAATAATTAAAATACTATATATTCCGAACAAGACATACAGCTATTACTTTCAATTCACTACATAGTAGGTGCTACTTAAGTGTGATCATGTTTGTTCTATCTTTTTTCATAATGTTAGCCGAATAATAACACTAAATTTAAAAAAAAAAAAAAAAAAAAAAAAACTTCAAAGCAGCAATGAAATTTAACTACTTTAATAAAAAATTTCAAGAACATACGTATTTTCACAGCATTTTAATTAGAAAATGCAAAAATGTGTTCATGAACTGTTCATAATGTTGCTGGAAATTATTTGACCATTTCTATACCATAATTTGAATATTACAAAGGCTTCCCTCATTTAAAGAGAATCTGCCAGTGTAAAATTTTAAGTTGAGCCTAAAAAAAAACTTAATTTGTCATCGATGTTTTCAGATTTTTTTTTTTTTTTTTTTTTTCTGGAGGGCTTCTGAAAAAGTCTTCTATCTGACAGTCCTTAAAATTAACAGAGTTGCTCATAATATATGCCAAACTGAGGCTGCTTTCTTTACCTGATTTTAAATGGTTGGCTGAAATCGAAATCAAGCTGTTTGATAACCTAATCTCTCACTTGGCAACATTTCTCAGTGTATCTTGACAATTTTTTTAAATCTATTTTTAACCTTATTTGGCAACTTTAAAAATTTATTTTATAGGAGTTTGGCAATATTAACTGAATGGTTGATCACAATAAACATAGTATTTTCCATGTTTTCATATACAAACGGGTGGGACTTCAGCAAATCGATAACAATATCCAATTGATAAAATTAGCATTGCCCTTGCCGAGACTCGAATTTGGACCTCTCAAATATGAGCTAAGCATGCCACATGTGGAAAGGAGGGAGAAAATTCCTTATATATTCCCCCATTTAAAAGGTGCCTGAGAATTAGGCGACCCATTGCCAAATCCTGCTAATGACAAATTATTGTCCACCAACTTTTCTGGAGGCCCCAGAAAGGTCACTCATTGGCTGGCCCAGTAGTCTGGCAAGCCCCAAAGCAGTGTGGCTCTAGTATTCTGGAAGGTAGCGCCCTCGGGTTTGCTGGGTAATGTCCAACTGCAACGGGCAGCCCAAGCGATTTTTTTTCATATTGAAGTGCAGTTCAAAATTAGCATTATTGTTCAGAAGGAATGAAATTTAATAATTTGGTTTCACAACTTGAACCTAAGTTCAACGAAAATACTTGGGATATTGCAATGAATGAAATTGCCACAAAATATTTGGATGCTAAAACTGGATTATTACAGCTATTTAAGGAAAGTGAAAATGTACAGATTAATTGCTTGGTTACAGGTATCAAGCTTGACGACATGAAACCAAGCACCTTTAGCAGAAACTGAGATCAGTTGCTACTACAGATGTGCCTGAAAATTTAATCAAAAGATTATGGCTTGAGAAACTACCTGCGAAAAAAAAAAAAAAACTATTAGTTAGTGATGAAGATGTAACCAAATTAATGTCTATGGCAAATAAAATTAGTGGTATGAATCAGAAACCAGAAGTATTTAGTGCTAACGCATCTTCCCTTTTTCTAAATGATTTGTTGCAAAAAAAACTAATTCTCTTAAATGAAAACTGGGTCAAACAACCATTCAATCATGGCATAGGGATTCGGATGCACATAATTTCCATTCACAATCTTGAAAATGATGTGATACAAATGGCAAATTTTGTTTCTGTCACTTTCGAATTGGAGCAAAATGCATGCCAGCCCCTATGTTGCTTGGCTAGATAACAATTCCCCAAAACCAGGAAAACTCGCATCTGCGGTAGGTTCAGCAGAAAACATGAAGAATTGCCACAAATTTATTTATTTGTTCATGACCAAAGATCAAATTTGCCCTTTCTTGTCAATAGGAGAGCTGATATGAGCATAATTCCATAATTCCTTCTCAGAATAAATAAAATAATAAATGCAAAATTGAATACGAACTCTGTGCACAGATATCTTCACATATGGCATAAAAATACTAACGCTTGATTTGGAATTAAATCGCAATTTTCAGTTTCCATTCATAATTCCTGATGTCACAAAAGGTATTTTAGGAACTGACTTTCTTCACACATATAACTTAATTATTGATATATATAAGAAAAATTAATTGATGCCATAACACATCTAGGTGTCCAGGGTGATGTTGCAGCTACTTTAAGTAATAACTATGTAACCACATTAAATAAATCCATAAAAATTGTTTATTTGATGTGAAAATTTCTAAACCTAATCTTTTCCCTACACAAATTAAACATGATGTTACACATTTTATTATGATTGATGGTCAACCCGTTTATTCAAAAGCATGACAGCTCAATCCAAACGACTTAACAATAGCTAAAGAAGAATTTAAATTTATGGAATAATCTGTCCACCAAACTCCAACTGGTCAAGCATCTTAATACGCCTTTGCATCTTATTACAAAAAAAAGACAGTTCATATCGACCTTGCAGGGACTACTGTTGATTTAACCCATTGCGGCGCACTCCACGTTTATGTCGGAATTTCAACAAAAAAAAGTTATATGCAGTCTATTTAGTCCTAAAAGAGTATACAGGTAAAATTTTGTAAAAATTGCACTTACCGTTTTAATTCTGTGGGTGTTCCATGAGGTGGAATACTGCGCCGCCAGAGCTTTTAAAAGTGTGACTAATGAGTAGAAGTGTTTGTATAAGTATGAAAAAACTCTGTATTATGGCTGTATACATGGTTTCCTGGATATACACAATATTCTTGAATATATACAGATAAATAAGATAAATATCTATATACACAAGTCCTACATACAGAAATATTTACAAATTTTCCTATTTCTTAGCTTTGTGAAATTGTTCAAAGCAAATCACACATTTATGATGGAAGCACAAACCAACTTTGCAGGTTTTGCACATAAAACTTGTTTTGTGCGGCTTCTGCTTCATGCTACAATGTGTGCATTGTCTACGCATACCCTTCACCGATATGTGTTCAACACTACTGTAGCATTTTCCCCCGGAAACCTTTACTTTATGCCTGGGAGTATCTTCAGGTCTTGAAGGAAGTCGCCTCTTCAAAGTTATCTCTGACGCTTTCATGGCACAGAGGGAATACAGCAAATTTAAAAGGAAATCTTTGGCTGTATTTATTTCAGCTCCAGTTAGCATTTTATGTAATATGTAACTGTTAATTACAGCTACATCTACAAAATGGAAAAAGATTTTTTGCCATCACTTTTTACTTTTACGATCTATTTCGTAAAGCGATACTAGTTGATCAAATTTGTCTACGAATCCCATTTTCATATTATAAGTTGAAATTGCTTTTGGGCAATTTATGTTTATTTTTGTGCCATCTTTTTCTTTTCGTTCAATTTGAATTTGATCAACGGCATCAGGAAGGGAAGACAGGATTGTGAAACATCTCTTATCCTTCCATTTGAGGCAAGTTAGATTGTCATGACTGATAGCCCAGTCAAATTCGCCTCTTTTCAACTCTTTGTCCTGGGCAAGCAGAGACTTGGGTAAATTTTTCTGCCTATCATGGCAGTTCCACAGGCATATATATTTTTGGTTTCGAAGTAGCGAAAAAGTTCATATGTCGTAAATTGTCCATGAACACCCGGTGATTTTTGCCATGCAGGCATTCTGTCAATCTTTTCACCACTTTCTCACCCAGGTTTTTCTCTACAACTTCTTTTTTGCCTGAATAAATCTTGAACTGGGATGCAAAAGCACTCTCATCATACCTCATCCATACTTTGAAACCACATTTTATTGGTTTCTTGGACATGCATTGTTTGATTGTGCTGCGCCCCTTGAATTTGATCATCGACTCATCTATCAACAATTTTCACTGGGGTGCAGAGCATCTAAAAATCTCTTAGACAGATAATCTAATAATGGCCGCACTTTATACAGACGGTCGAAATTTGCATCGTTCCTTTTCAGCTCAAGCACGTTGTCATTTAGGCGCAAATTGACGAGAATCCATGAAAACCTTCTACATGACATATAACGGCAAATGAATTTGTCTCCAAGGGCTTCATTATTTGCCCAGTAATCCTTATAACTCGGCATCCTCTTTATGCCCATCAGCAGATTGATTCCCAGAAATATGTATAATTCAACTAAAGTGAGTGGTGAGAAAGGTTTACTTTTTTGTGTCGCATAGGGATTTGTTTGGAAAACTACGTGTTCTATCAGCTGAAGTGAAGAAATCTCTTGGAACACTGCTAATAGTGTTTTTGCAGATAATTCCCATAGCTTTGCATTTGGCCCACTTATCGATGTAAATTCCAGAAGTATCTTTTGCAACTTCTGTTTAGAATTCCAAGTAGGAACTAAAGGCTGTGTAGTGAAGCCTGGCTGAGATGGATCATCATCCTCCTTATCAGATAAATGAGTTTCATCTGACATATCATCATCGGATTGCACAAGTGGTTCAGGAGCATATACCTTAGTATAGCTGCTATCCTCACGCTCTGATTCACAATCCGAGGGTAATTCATGAAACACTTTTAGCGCTTCGGAAAGAGTTAGACCTCTCTGTGCCATTTATGGAAAATTAATAATAAAAAAAATTAACTACGATTAATATTAACAATAAAGAAAAATAAGCCTATAATATATATATATATACACAAAAAATATCTACACAATTATTGAAAATAAACAGGAATGAGACTAAAAAGCGACAGCAAAAAATTTGCGCAGGTCTAAGTAAAGATGAGTCAAGCTACTAATAAAATTCCCACCTAAAAACTACTCCCAAAACATTCGAGATGCCAATATTAGGGCTTCCATAACACAACTCACCCTTCAATACTGCTTTGTTTGAATTCATTCCCCCCCCAAAAAAAAACAACGGAAACAGAAAACGTAAACAACGGATGTTCTCTCGGCTAATCTTTAGAATATGGTAACAGGTAGCTTGGCGACATTTTGGTAAGGCGATAAAGGTTACTAGCTAGGACTTTAGCAATAATCTGAGAAGTACACAGTTCGAATCACAGATTATTTTGCCTCAGAGAAATGAGAGACCATGAGACATGTCATGTGACATTTTCCGGAAAATTCCGATCGTGATTTTAGCTAATAAGCTAAAATAGAATAGAAACAATTTAAATAATAAAAACAATTTCGCTGCTAAAGTGCAGAATCGCCCACTTATTTGTTTGGTGCTTTTTACAAGAGTAAGAATTGGATTTTTGTCAATTTTCTTTGACTTTTTAAGTGAAAATAGGTCGATGTGTACATAGACAAAGTCAAGAGTCTGCGCAGTGCCATTTTTGTGCAATTATGAGATGTTTTTTTTAAGTGAAAATAGGTCGATATGTACATGGATACCGTGTATGTGCAATTCTTAAAAACACGGCAAGCAGTTTGCGATTCTGCACTTTCTCCCAATTTCGCACCTAATCTTCGTTATGATTAAGCACTTTTGTTCCATAAAAGTTCTAGCATAAGTGTAATTCAACTAGCAGATTGTTGGAAAAAAATGTTGAGTAAAAAAAAAAACTAGCAGGTTGCTGTAGCAGGGTTGGTCGCCAAATTTTAGCCAAAAAATCGCCCAGTTACCATAATCCAAAGATTAACCGTTCTCTCCTAAGTACAGATGTTCTGATTCGTTAACAGCATGAGATCGCTCGCAGTGTTCCCGCTAATGGAACACCCTGTTTCATTAAATGATTCTGCATATGGTTTTTGTATGAAAGATTAAAAAAAATATAGAACAAATAATTTGGAGTACAGCCAGCAAAATTATGCCTAATTTTTTTTTTTTCCAAATAAAAATTTTTATATTAAAAAAATAGAGAAAATTACTTGGAAAAAGAGTGGATTTTAATAACACATAATAAATGAAAATTCTGTGTCTCCTTGTGATATGCTGCTATCTACTGTTTAAAAAGAAAAGTTCAAAGTATATTATAAAGGCATTTTTATCTATTTACAGTTGAATTTAAAGGTTTCAGAAGCGATTCAATTTGGGTGTTCCATGTAGTGGAACACTGAGCCACAAAGGGTTAATGCACAGATGATATCCAATAGATACTCGACTCCTCAGACTGAAGATTTTCATCACATTTTAAAAGGCACAAATATTTTCTCTAAAACTGACTTAATCATAGCTGATTTTTAAATTTCCACTGCAGAAGATGACAAATGTAAAAAACTATCATCATTGCTTTTGGTTTGTACACACTTAATACAATGAATTTTGGCTTAAGAAATACTCTTGAAAAAAGGATTAGAATTGGTTTTTTCCTATTATTTAGACGAGATACTTATTGCAGTTCTAGAAATTAAAGTTACATTTGAAAATACATTCATGCATACATATATATAGATAGATAGATAGATATAAAGAGAGAGAATTAAATTACATAACGTTTTGTAGCATATACATTAAAATCCGACAAAGAATAATATACCAGAAAATACAAAATCAGAAACTTTGCACACACACTCCTGACATTAATATATTATTATTACAAATACGTACATAATATCTACAGGTAGTCCTTGACTAAAGGCAGCTAAAAACTAAGATTAAAAATTTGCCAAATGAAGTTTACTATCAGCTTCACCATGCATGCATATTTAAGCATTACTGCTTCTACAGAATGTGCTAAGTGACTTGCTAATGATCAAGACTGATTCTAGACTGTTAGCTGCCTCTTTTTAGAGAAATGTATTATACTTAATAATCATATCGCCACTCTTAAACTTGGACCCCCCCCCACGTGCAGTGCACGATCTTGCCCTGTCCCGGTAAGATCAGCCTTACTGGTCATATTTATTTTTCATAATTTAATCATGATAAGTAGTAGAGATATAAAATATTTGCAAACGGTATGCTATTGATTATGCAAGTTTGGAGAATATCATATTGGTCAAAGTACCTGAATATTGGAACTTTGAGGATGGGGGAATCTCAGAACAATGCATGTGAAGAATTTGGGAAAATACTGCTGTAACAGGAAACACTGGAAAAGTATGAGCATGATACTGTAGAAGAAACTGTGAAGAAATGGTTGAAATGGGATAAGTCATTATAAATTAAAGACTACCTGTACATACAAATAAGACTTTTTAACTATAATTTTATATTTTTTTCTTTCCTCTACATTTGTTTTTTGAGCAGTTATTTGTATTTTTCAGCTTATGATGGGCATATGAACTGACAAAATATTTCCACATTTTCACTGCAGGATAATGACATGTAAGCCATTCATGATCAACGAGTTTAATTTGGGATATAATTTTGTATTTCACACCTTTCTGGCTGCATATTTCATCAAATAAAGTTCCAATTTTTTCATCCCATCTCACAAACAATAAATATAAGCTGCTATAAGGGGAAACACAATCCATCTTTCACTACATCAAATTCCTTGAAATATAAAAAGTAAGTTATTTGCCCAAAGATTTATCAATCAGAAGAATATTCTAAAATAAAGTACAAGGAAATTGCTTTAATGCACTTCTAGCAAAATATCCAGCAACATAAGCTGCTGAATTTCGTGAAAATACATCATGTTATGTATTTGCAATACAAGTACTAGTATCAGAATTTTCATTTGCTACCCATAACGAATCCTCATAGTCAATTTCCCTATCATTTACATCACTGCCATTTAAAGGCGCAGTATTATCAATAACTGTCAGCAACTCTGGAGGTAGCAAAACTTTATCATTATCACATTTACTGTCTGATAGCTTTGCTGTGCTTATAATATTCTGTGCCATTAGCATTCTCATCCTCAGTTGAAAATCGTACACAGTAGGATAGTCATTACTTCCACCTCTGTGTTTGAAAACAGAGAAAAAATTATCCAAGTTATCGTGGGTGAAACAACACATCAATACAAGCGGTACATTTTCCAACAGAACTGGAATTAACTGATGAACTGCTGATAGATCAATTTCCAACCAAATATACTTTGAAAAGATTTGTTTTTTCCATTTGAAGTTCAATAGATTTGATGAACTTCATCTTTTCCTTCCATGTTAAGTGAGTTGATGATTTTGTAACTCCTACAAGAAAAGATTTAGGGTGCTTAAATGTTTGACTATTCAAACCATCAAATAAAGTATTTTTGTTTGAACAGAAGTCAGCTGTAAAACTAGACAATGCAAGTAAGCAATTTAGTGCATTGAGGTAACACAGGCCAGAAGCCACAGAATGACTAAAGCCTGAAGCTGCTAATTTTATCCTTATAGCACCTAGGGAATCCCCATTTACATGGTGGCCTGTTAATTTTGGAACACATCTGTGAGGCATTTTACGATCAAATTCCCACAAGGATATGATGTGTTTTTAATTAGTAATTTTGCTACTCTGAAATTTAACATCATATTTTTTAAAATTATTTCACAAGCACTTCAAAAGACGAGGTACAAAAAAAGTGTGAATACCTTTTTTGTCTTGACATATAATTCTCTCTTCTGTAACTTTCATATTTTTTATAAGAAAATACATCATTTGCACCATCATCACAAACAGCCACAGGCATCAAACCACAATCATATAATTTTGATAGGGCTTCCATGACCAAAGTACACAACATGAAACTTGGAGTAGTGCAAGAAGGGAAAAAAGTAGCCAATGGCCTATTTCCATTTTTTCCAAAGCCCGTGGACCATAAAAACAAGACCATGAGCTGCATATCCGGGAAGGAAACTACAGTTCCTATACTGCATGTTCAGTATAAGATTTGGACTACTAAGATAGATCTGAAGACAAATTTTTATCAATCAGTGACCAACTTCATCCATATTTTGACACATTTGATGCATTTATTTGTGACTGCATAAAAGTGAAAAACCACAGACCTAACCAGTGATCTAATCAGCAAGAGTACCTTTTCCCTTCCAGCTTTGTTAGCTTTACTTTTTAACGAATATTTTCAAATATACCAGTTTATGGCTTAACTGCCTAAATTTCAAAGATCTGGGAGTTAAATTTTTATTGCATTTTGAACTTCTTTCTAGTGTCACAAACACTTCACCTATATGATTTAGTACTGTTGAACCTTGGCTTGGTTTAGAGGCTAGCTGTGTACCTCAGGTAAGTTGCAAACAGCCAGGATTTGATTTTGAGCTACCTTTCAAAGAATATGAATGTTGAATATGATTCATACTGACTGCATGCTGCTCCAGCACATAACTTCATGGAAAGCTGATGCACATTCACAACCCTATTGTTTCTAGGACTACTAGTTAGGAGCTATAATTCTAGGACCACCAGCTATATTCACCAGCTAGGAGGGAAAGAAAGTATATACATAAAACAAGATTAATGCATAATAATTATAAAATATAATCCACTGAATTAATTATTTTATGAATATTTCATTCCTAAACAAAAAAAAATATTTAACTTTCTAAAGCCGATGGTACAACTGTTGTACTGCAAAATTTACTTACTTTTAACCCGGCTATGGTACAAGTGTCATACCAATGTTTTTCCCCTTTTAGAGTTTTATCAATTAGATTCTCTAGATGGTCCATTTCCTGTTAAAAGCAGCCCCTGGCTATGTACTGTTTCCCACTTCTTATCTGGTTGGCTACATTTTGACAAAGATCATAGGTTTCGTCTTGCGCCAATGTACTTGAAAACAAATTAGATGCTGTGCCTCTTTCAAACATTAGAGCTTTTTCTCACACTCTTATTCAGTTCTTATAATGGCACTTTTTCAAAGGTCGCAGTCAGGACAAAATGAATAAGTTGCTAAGAGATTTAGAAGAGGAAACTTTTGCTGATACAGATTCGGACTGTCCAGACACAGAAGAAATATGTTTTAACCAAACTTTATCTATCTTTTAATGAAGAAAAAGTTGCCGATGATGTCAAAAGCAACACTAATAATTTATTTGAATAGCCAAATGAGCATAACAAAGCTAACCATATTGACCTTTACTGGTAATCCTGGTATAAAGACTGAATTTTCAGAAACTCATCTTGCTGTTAATTTTTTTAAATTTTCAGATGAATTGTTTAAAATTTCAACCAGAGAAACTAATCGATATGCTTATCAAATCTTAGAGCTGCGGCCAAGTATAAGCGGAAAAAGAAAGCATGAAAGCGACTGGATGCCAGTTACATCTAATAAGCTACAGAAGTTTTTTGGATTAGTCTTACTGGCACGTTTCAGATAACCGGCCCTTGGCATCCTTATTTCCGCCATCTTGGATGGTGCCAAAAAGCACCAAATCCAAGGAGGAGGAAAACTTACCGCCCGAGGGCAAATGACGCTGTAGTCGCCTTCCCTAAAAATTTCCCTAAGGAAAATTCCCTATGGAAGTCCTAAGAAGGTGAAAATAGTGAAATACGCATTTAAATGCAAAGTGTAAACAGTCGGAGGGCTAGAAACTTTCTGACTTAAAATTTTAACTTACATTTAATGTTTCATCGACTTTCTTTATTTAGTAATGAGAATATTTATGAGTATTTAATGAGATTGTTATTTTTTGTGCATATCCTTAAATTTGTTTGCATAACGAAGGTAATTTTAAATGATACGAGCATTATACGTCATTTTTCTATAAATTTCATTTGGTACTTCAAAGCATTATTTTTATAATATATCCAGATACAGTTATATATATATGAGAATTTACTAATTCTTATTCATTCTAACATTCATAAACCTTTAAGTATATTTAATGAGAATTTTTTTTATACAATTACCTTTGTTATACAAAAAATATTGCTTATTCTATCGTTCATCAACTTTTAGTAAATTGAATGAGAATAATCTGTCATAAAACTGACTTTGTTATACAAAAACTATTATTAGCCGTGAAACAAGCACCATTTCTCTATAAATTTCATATACTATTTTAAAGATATATCCATATAAATAATTGAAAGTTATTTATGTGTATGAGAATTTAGTAATTCTAACATTTAACTTTTAAGTATATTGAATGAGAATTTATTACACTTTTTATAACAAAGTTAATTTTATATCAGTAAGCAAGATACAAGCATTATACACCATGTCTAAATTTTATATACTACTTCAAAACATTATTTTAAACATATATCCAGGTAAGCATCTGAAAGTTATACGTGATAGATATTTCAATTTAGTATTTCTAACATATATTTGGATCATTAAAAATCATTCTAACTTGCATTATGTTCTTTTTAAGAATTTCAAGTAATTTATCATTCATTTAAATTAATTAAGTTAACACATATTGATAAACAAACAATGATGGTACTTACCCCAGATGACATTTCTCAGATAATCCTTATTTTTTCTTTTAATCCATTATGAGAGTAATCCATTTTCTTTGCACTTTGTGGATGCATTTTCATAAGATCTGAATAAGTTTCATAAGAATAAAGTAATGTACAAGGATTCTGAAATTAAAAATGATTCCATTTCCACATCACCATAGAGTCTTGCACATTTAATCTTAAATAAAAACCGAAAGCTTATTATATTTTGCTGTTTGTAAGAGCATTGCCAAATTCTCTTATATTTAAGATTTAGAGATTAATTTTTTAAGACATTTTTTATCCGAATCTGATAACATAGTTCCATTGAAAAAATTAGAACTAGCCATGACTTTTCAAATTATCTAAATTTGATTGCATGTTAAGGTCAATTTTAATTAAATCTGAGTAAGAAACAGAATTAAGAAATAATGTGCATATTAAAGTCAATTTTAATTTAATCTGATTAAGAAATAGAATTAAGAAGTAACTTGATTAATGACATGAATTAAGTAAAGTAAGTAAAAATAACCGTAGCAAATTTTTATGCTGGTATGTGCAAGACTCCGAAGGTAGGAATCTTGATGGGTTTTTTTTTTTTTTTTTCAGAGGTGTTGCCATGAGCCATAATCCTCTAATTATAATGCATATGTATCATTACTATCTTCAAGCACCATATTTCACATTCTAAAGCAGCATTACTTGGCAATTCATTATTTGCTGTTTCTGTACCATTTCTCTTGTACAAAGAAACAATCCTCTGTAGTCTTATATTTAACATTTTTTAATTAAATCTGCTTTTGTGTCTTCCATTTCAGTCTCTCGAAAGAAATGCCTGGCTACCCCCAGGCGCTGGGTTTTTCATCCGAGTTACTTGAATTATCCACATGCTTAGTCAATTTAATTCTCACATTTTCAGTGCCCATATTCAGTGCTTGCTAAAATGTCACAGCAAATTCTGTTCTGCAGCTTCCTGTACAAAATAACATGCATATTATATATTTAATATATGTATATTTGTAATACAAAGAAACTGAGTAAGGTATCCCTATTTATGATCATTAACAAACATACAATGCATGGTTTTAAGTCTTGAAATAGTCTTGTAAAGACTTCATCAAGTCTCAACTCTTGCTAAAACAGCAAGAACATATCGTTTTCTTGTATTACACAACTTAAAACATAAGTTAGGATACAAATATGTATTTATATTAAAACCTCTAAAGTAATTTTTTTTTAATTTCTCACATACCTGGGATTTGCCTTAAAGCACTTTTTCTGCTGTTAGACTTTAATCTTGTCTTCACCATTCCATATTAATTCAATAACTAGAAAATATTGAATGAACATAGTACAAAAATACACAATTAAAAAAAGGAACAGGCATTCTTAAAAACTAATTAATTCACCTGTATATTTGTCGATTCTTGATGAATTCTTTTCTGCAGTGGGCTTAATATCTGCAATAAGTACTCTTAACTCTGAAAGGAAAAATAATCGAGTGTAACCAATAAAATGTTCTTTGGTAACAAACAGGATGGAAACCTTAAAAGTCATCAACTGACCTCTATGTAAATCTTTCCAAAATGGTTTACTTCTTTCTTCATTTGCTATTTTATCGAATCTGCAATAAAGTTTCTTTTATATGAAAATTAAGTAGCTAAGCATATGTTAATATCATGATAAATAAATTTAAAAATTAAAATTCATCCATCTGCCTAGAAAATAATAAATGAACATATCATAAAAATACACAATTAAAAAAAAAGAAACAGGCTGGGTTCTTAAAAACTAATTAATTCACCTGTATATTTGTCAATTCTTGATGAATTCTTTTCTGGGCTGGGCTTAATATCTGCAATAATTACTCTTGAATCTGTAAGGAAAAATAATCGAGTGTAACCAATGAAATGTTCTCTGGTAACAAACAGGATAGAAACCTTAAAAGTCATCAACTAACCTCTATGTAAATCTTTCCAAAATGGTTTACTTCTTTCTTTATTTGTTATTTTATCGAATCTGCAATAAAGTTTCTTTTACATGAAAAATAAGTAGCTAAGCATATGTTAATATCATGATAAATAAATTTAAAAATTAAAATTTTTGCATTCCATCTCATTCTTATTTTTGGTAATGTTATCCACTGACAAATATTTTAACATACAAAGTAAAGCAGTAGCATGAAAAATTAACTGATTAATATTATATCTTAATGTTTTTTGTAAAAAGTAGAATGTTCCAAAACAAAATTGCTTATATTAAAGGAGCATTATTAAAACAGCTGAAGTGTTTCATTGGTATGGAACATAAGCTACGAATGATTAAAATTGTATCTTACCTCATCCTAGTATTTTATTGTACTTCAGATCTGCAGCTGTGAAAGAGAGTTGATGTTAATAAAGAAGAAACATAATATATATATATAAGACTTGGAATTAAAAGGAAGTTCAGAATAACTGAAATGCTTAGTTACCTATTTCACTAAAGTATCTCTTGTAATGCAACATTGTTCACCCCTTTTTCCTGCTGGGCTCTGTTTTGTGGTTAATTCTAAAATCAAACATAAAATAACGTAATTTTATGATGTAATAAATTAAATGTTTCAACAAAAATTATTGAACATGTGAGCATTATTATAACAGTTTTAATATTCAGCTTACTTGTATGCTTTTGATGATTTTTTTTTATTTTGCCATTTGATTAAGGTGTTTTGCTCTGAAAATAAAGATATGAAATACAATTATATGCAGATTAATATTTAAATGAATTTTTGTAAACATAAAAATTATATAACAAATAACAATGTTATATTCATTAGTTTTACCCCATTTATCGTCATTTTCAATTAGTGGTATTTCATCGTCAAGTCGAGGAGCTTTTTTGGGAGGCATAAGGTGTTCTAGATCTTCACTTTCAGGTGTAGGTTCATCAAGTATCTTAAGTTCAAATCCTAGTTTTCCATGTCCAGGATAAATGCATTTAATATGTTCTATGAATTGCGCAAGTCTTTCTCCATCATATTCAAAAGGTTTCAATCTAAAGTGCCTATAGTAGTGTACGGCCATGTACTGACTACAGATTTTATCTGTGTTTTTGCTCTTTATAGCCTTTTTCAGAATTTTATTTTCTCCCTCAAGATTATTTATTGTATTACTTTTATCCTTAGGATCTAAAAATTCACCTGTAAACAAAGGATTAATGAATGTTAAGAAAAAATTTTGTCGCTAATTTAAAAAAAGACGGGCAAATGTTTACCTTTCCTCTGATTTGTACTTTTATGTATTGCTGCCGGGAATAAACTTTCAACTTTCTTGTATTGTGCTGCTGGTAATTCTGTAAGCACGATTGAACAATTATTTAATTGTTATTAGACAAAATATCTATTGAGAAAATGGCAACAGCTAATTTCTGGATGTCGTTCTATTTATAATTTTAAAATATATGCATTGAGATGACAGTACGCTTGAAATGTTTAATGGTGCGATGCAGTAAGTACGTTTGTCATGTTATGTACGTTTACGAATACGTTAGGTGTAAGTTATTAAGATTTATCTTTAGATAAATGTTCGTTTGTCTTTTACAACCATTTTGACTGAGCGATTAATTTAACTACAAAAAAGGAAGTTAACATAAATCAGAAGCGGGATTATTCTGAAACCTAAGCCTTAAAGCTACAAGAATTTGCTATACGTAAATAAATTTGAAAAGAATTTGAATTTCAAGGTATGTGCATTGATTGGATGTAACATATTTATATAGAATTAAATTTTGTTATTTATTTTATTATTTTGGAAAGAGAGTTTATTTTTTTTTTTTTTTTTTCATTTCTTTAAATTTTGAAATATATTTAGAACGTCAAACAAACTTATGAAATACCAATAACTGTGTTCTACTAAGTTGTCTAATTGGAAGTTAATAATAGCAGCATATATATATAATTTGCATTTTAATAAGTACGAAAATGTCTATTTTCGGTAAGGCAAAGAAATGCGATTTACGAATATTAGCTGAAGAATTGGGAGATGTAAATGAGAGTCATAAAATGAGCGATTTGAAAAAGATAATTTTGGCTAGCAAAGAGTACAATGAAGAATGCACCAAAGAATGGTTAAACATTATAATAAATGAAAGAAAAGAGAAAGAAGAAATTGAAGAACGAAAACGTCAAGATGTAAAACTTAGGCGAAGAGAAGAATATGAGGAACGAAAACGAAAGTATGAAATGGAATTTGAAATGCAAAAACTACGTATTGAAGCAGAAAGTAGATCTACAAATTCCGGCACCAATGAAAATGCTAGTGGTGCACACATAAATCCAAAGTTAGAGCTTCATCGTTTGATACAAAAATTTAAACCTAACGAGAATGATATCAGTTTATATTTAATCATGTTTGAACGTTTGGCTAAACAAGTTGAAATACCAGAAAATACATGGGTTACTCATTTGTTTGGCTTATTGCCGTATGATATTGCTCAGTTAATCGCCAGAGAAACCGGATGAACTATTTAGTAACCTCCACATTGATGAAAAAATAAATCGAGTCTGCCTTAAAGCTCTTGAGGCATATGAATTAGAGAAAAATATGATCAGTCTTGTCAGTTCTCAAACAGATTCTGTAGATAATGGATTAATTATGATAGAAAATCTTTCCGAAGGTATCGGCTGTTTATTAGCAATTAAAAATGGCGAAACTTGTATACCAAGTGATTAACGTTGGGCGATAGAAGTGTTAAGCTCCAAAAAGAGCAATGCGTTGGGAGAGCAAGAAGAAGTTGAACTATGTTTAAATACTGAAATTTCTGAATTGAGCTCGAACCCGTAGCAAAATGGGAAAATATTAACAACATAAAAATTCCCTATAAGTTTAAGCCAAAGTTAAAATTGGCTGCGGATCTCGACGTTGATCACCAGCAAGAATTACTGCGTCTTCTGAATGAATACAGAGATTGCTTTCGCACTAAATATTTCAGAACTACTATGCACAGATCTTCATAAAAATTGGACATTAAAGAAATTCGAAGGTTCAAAAGCCTAGTATGTATGAAGCCTTATAGAACAAATGCCTCTGAAAAGAGCTGCGATCAAACGAAATAGTTCAAGAATAGAAAGAAAATGGAAGTGTAACAGAAATGCGATCCCCATATGCTAGTCCTGTCATACTGGTAAAGAAAAAGACCGGTGAATACAGATTAGTTGATTACAGACGTCTCAATGGTCAAACTATAAAGTATAAATTTCCCTTGCCTAAAATAGATGATTTATTAGAACAATTGCATGAGTGTAGTCTGTTTACAATGCTAGATTTAGCACACGGATATTTACAGATTCCATTAACTGAAAGTGCAAAATTGAAAACTGCTTTCATAACACCGGATGAAAGTGGACAATTTGAAAGAATGATGTTACGTGTTTTTTTATTTTTTTTTTAGTGGCACCAAAATTGTTATGTGCCTGCTAAGTTGACACAGAAACACACAAAATTTTCTATCAACAGATATATATATACCAATCCCAATAAACCTAATCAATACGTTGTGTTCGGATTAACCCTGAAATAAAATCTAAGTAGTTGACTGGTGAAAGACATGAGCACACACACACACACACATAAAAAATAAACATTGACTGATCCAGAAAAGTATTTCTATTTATTTAACTCTTAAACAGTTAATTAACTCTTATGCAAATTATATTCTAGCAGATCTTAGTTAAGGAGTAATAATTGAATATAACAAAATGTATACTTTAAACTAAATAATCTCACAATTTTACTTCATGACTCTATAATATCAAACATTATTTTGAATTCATACTGGTAAGCATAATCACATAAATTATTTGATAGATTAACAATACCCTCCCCGGGGAGAAAAAAAAAAAGAGAATATTTAACAATTTGCACTTTCAAAAAACATTCCACACAGAAATAAGCTATTAATGAACTTGGTACAGAATCAAAATGATATTAAGAAGGTTATTGCACATTTTAACCAATTGTTTTCTTTTAGAAAAAATAAACTGGGTAAAATATTAAGGAATAAAATCAGGCTTTACATCTTACAACAACTTATTCTAATACCGTAGCAATGAAGCTCAATTAATGGCACCTTATATTAAAATCTTAACGATAAAAGAAATTTACTGCTTTAATTAAATAATTTAACCCCTTAACTGCCGCGGGCGTATATATACGCCTTGCTCAGCCGATGCGTTAACTGCCCCAGGCGTATATATACGTCCTTCCAAACTGCTATCATTTGCTTTGCGCTGCTACACCTAAAATTATTTGCAAAGTTAACGCATCGGCTGCGCATCTGGGCGCATCTGGGGCAGTTAACGCATCGGCTGAGCAAGGCGTATATATACGCCCACGGAAGTTAAGGGGTTAACTAAGAATATATTTCCTTATCCATTCTAATTAAGTTACTTTACCTCAACAAACAGAATTATTTCATTCTAATTAAGTTACTTTAACTCAACAAAAAAAATTATTTCTTTAACAACCAAAAACTATCGAAAAACATTTAAAAAAAAAAAAAAAAACTTAGCTGAAACTGCTTGAAGGCCTGGTTGATGAGGAGGAAGCGGTGAATTCAACAAGTCACTACACAAAAACAAAACTCTGATGATGAGGAGAAAGTTTCAAACTATTGTCTTTCGTGAATTAGAAGCACAAAATTTTAAGGATCTCAGCAGCTTTTGCAGGGGAAGTTCCAAGTCTATTTCCGTTAATTTCGAGAATGAGAAGAGTAAACCTTTCCTTGAGAACCCGCACATCTGTAGAAGAGATTATGTTGTCGGACAAATTTTCGTGAATTAGAAGCATAAAATTTTAAGGGTCTCAGCAGCTTTTGCAGGGGAAGTTCCAAGTCTATTTCCGTTAATTTCAAGAATGAGAAGAGTAAACATTTCCTTGAGAACCTTCACATCTTTTTTTTTTTTTTTTTTTTTTTTTTTTTGTAAGGATCTTGTAGAAGGTTTCAACCGGTAGTCCATTTTCCATTTTTAAGAGAAAAATGTAGAGTCTGAAAAATCATTCTCGGCCTATAAATCTGGATGATTTTTCATTTTTTTTTCCTTTGAAAACTGAACTTATCGAGTAAACACAGAAGATAAAATGATCAGAAGGAAAAATGTTGCCGAAGATATTACTCTAGAATTCTTCTTTTACGAGGGCGAGAGGCCCGTAGATCCAGCAGGTGAAACTCCATTTCTTCGTTCTTTCCCAATCTCTGAGAACAGCTTAATTCACGGCCAAAGAGTAAAAGTCCAAAGTGTAAAAAAAAAAGTGCAAAAAGTAACCTTGTCCCTCAAAACCGCCCGTTAAAAAGAAACGGGCAGGAACACCAACTTGGCACCACTCACGCCCCGCCAAAGGGAAACCAGTTGCAACATTCAGCATTCCATCATGCAAACACCCTTGCCAAAATAACCACTTTGAAACCCCAATGGATTTTCCAACTTGCCAACCAGCCATGCCTAGAAGAGGGGAGAACGTGGGAATCTCAACAACCCTGGAAGAGGCCCCAGTGAAAGTGCACTGAAAACTTGAGAAAACGACCATTTTACCGGAAAAGGGAGATTTCCTCCCCCACAATAGAAATCGCAATGACAACGGTAAAAATCTATTAATTAAAAGCTCATAACTAAAATGTAATTGAAGTTAGTAAAATAAAAGTTATCTCAAATTAAAGAGCTAATTTTTCTGCAACTA